CTACCCAGCAAACACACTAGTCCGGCCATGCAATGGCACATTAATGGGCCATTGCATTATGTAATGGCCCAGTAATGCGCCGTTGCATGGCCGGAATAGTGTGTTTGCTGGGTAATGACATAAATAACTATTTTACGACCTATGACACGCTATTGCGCATATATGCGCATATAGTAACTGATTCTTTTTCCATGCTGATCAATTATTTGTCAAGTTTCGATCAATCTGCATTACAAACGCTTTGCCAATTTTCGACCAAACTTCATTACAAACGAAGTTGGACAAAAACAACTCTACTTAAGTCTTTATTTTCATGCAGTTTTTGTGCTATCGAGTTGGGAAATGATTGGCATAAAATATGTCAAATTTAATGAAAATACAATTTATATGTCCAAATAAACCCCAATAAATGTAAAATATCAAACTTAGTTGGGAAAAAGTTGACTAATTTCTTTCCCAAACCATGCAATGAGAACTCCTATTATATTCATCATCTGAAACGAAGTAAAATTCACTCAGCCTGTGTACAAAACAATAATTGCGAAATCAAGCAACTTTTCCCAGAAACGGAATGATCTTAAAGTTTTAATTGCACCCATTACGACTACTCACTATCTATCTCTGTTAGAGCACAATGCCATTTAACTAAGTCCTCTAAAGATACGCCATATCCCAAATTAAAACACACACCAAGTCTGTCATGTTCATTTTAATTAAAGCAAAGTCCTTACATACAATTCATCAAAAGCGATTTTTCCCGAAATGGAAAATATAAAAGCATTAATTGCTTTCGGCCAACCACTTTCGGGCGAATCGTTTCATCCCGATTCAATTAGAAAAATAAATACTTCCCACTTGTCACGTCCGCAAGATATATAACTTTTTATTTTGAATCTTATTCGAGCTGTCCCCTGCACAAACAATAAATCATTTTGCGGATTTGTTTCGACTGAACACCAGATTTCGCCGTTTTCGATTAAAAATTAATTCTTTGTTTATTTTTATGCATTTGCATAGTTTTCTTGATGGAAACCTGCCATTGTTCAATACAATACATATTAAGTGAGCGGAAGTCTCAAAAGAATAAATATATGAATATATATATTAATAAGTCTGGACCTAAAAAGATATCAAAACTTTTCTGGAATATGTGGGGTAAATCATTTATTCAAAAATGTGCTTCATAAATATGTTCAAGAACTGGTTGTAAAATTTGAACAAAGGGGATCTGTTTGCAATTACTCAATAAAGCCACCCATGTTGAGGTTCTTGGTTAGTTTGGTGTAGATCTCACAACATCAATCCGTCCGGCATCTAGATTAACAGGTCTTTGCCCTGAGTCTGTTAGGAAGGTGTTTGAAACATCACAAATTTTACCCATTCACACACGATGATGATCCAGACAGGCGGTTAGAATTTTGTGAAATAATGACCAATAAAATAACAAATCAGATCCAAATATTAAAAAACATTTGCTTCAGCGATGAGTATACTTTTTATATAAATGTTTACAAACAAAATTTTCGTTATTGGAGCAATGAAAATCCTCATCTCATCAGTGAAAATCATACCCAATATCCTGAAAAACTTATTTATTGACCAAAATTTCAATGGTCAAATTTATGTTGAAATGTTAGATGAAACAATTCAACCACTAATAAATTATTAGTAATAATAAATGAACTAAAAAATTAAAGAGGAAAGGATGATGAAGTAGCTTGGATAAAAATGTAGTACAGTTTCAACAAGATAGGGCACCACCTCGCTATGTAGAAGCTGTTAGGGCTTGCCTGGATCAGAATTATCCAAAAAATTGGTAGAAGAGGACCAATAGAATGGCCTCCCTGATCTCCAGATCTGACACCAACTAAATATGTTTAGTAATTTTAAAATGGTGTATTGTAATTTAACTATACAATTCATTTCAACTCAGTTTAAGAAAATTACAAAATATATTTTACAATTTTACTGAACCGAAGAAAATTGGTTTCGCAATATTACAATAAAAATTACACTAAAAATATTTAGTAATTTACGAATAATGGTATTGTAATTATAATTATATATAGTATAGTACCTATACTACGAAAAAAAAATGGAATTTTCTTAGTTTCTTCAAGAAACTTTCTTGACCCATTAGTGTAAAGATAAAAAAAAAATGAACCTTCACCTCGCCAGAGTTTTTGTCTAGTGCGTTCCACCAACTTCAAATACCGACAGACAGCTAGACAACTGGGTCTTATCAATGTCGGGCAATTTGGTGCATTGGGACACACCAAAAACAAAAGACACCTGAGCTTATATACTGTCCACCTAAGTCAACCGAGGCGAGATGTAAGAACATGACGTGATTGCCGCAATCGGTACTTGCATGTTACTATGCATTTTACATAACATTATAGCAAATCAAATACAAATGTTGTAAATCTGAGATGCTTTTATTAGAAACTGTCAAACTGTTTAGTAAAACTACAATTCGTGTAGAATTTATACATATAGATTGTAAAATTACAACTTATCTTAGTAGATTTCCCAACATGTCTTTGAAGATTACTCAAATTGTATTATAATTTTGTATTGGTTGTATACACTGATTAACTCATCCTTTGTTTTGCAAAAAAATTGTAATTTTGCAAAAAAATTTAACAGTGTACACTGTACATGAATTGTAAAATTCTATAAGTATCTGACAAAACCAAAAACATTGTAAAATTGGAACCTCTTTAGGACTTTGGCTTTAACAAAATGTAATATTACAACAAATGCATATTAAAATTGCAATACAGTACATTTTGTAATTTTACTATGCAACTGCTCATAGTAAAAATGTAGTAATTTTACAAACATTTTTAACAGTGTACTGGTTACAAAATCATTTTGAGCTGTTAATTTAAAAATCTAAAAATTGAAGTGTTTTGATTATTGTTGAACAATTTTATATAATAATTACCAACGAGGTCCGCGTTGTCCACATGCCATTCCCGCCCAAAAAGTTAAATACCAAATGTCATCAAAATCCCGATTTTGCCTAAAGTTTTTAAATATCTAACATTGTTTTGTTTTGTAACAACATGACTTGCTGCTCTATTTATAATTCTATAGGTGTTGTAAAGTTTTAAAACAAAACATCACATTGTTTTCTTACACCCTACAACTTTTGTTCAGCAGACTCGTAATACTCTTAAAAGTTTTATAGATTAGAAAGATGGTTTATATGTAAAATTTAATATTTGTAATTTTACCTTTAGGTAGAGTATACGTTATTCTTTTATATAAATAAGAAAGTTTTTTGTTACAAGGTTAATGCAGCCGCATAGCGTTTTGCTGTAAAACATCATGTCAAAATTATGTGATAAATTAGTCTGTAACAGTCCCGAAAACAATTGCATGAAAAGGCGCATGTTTCAGTGACGTTTCAGTAAATACGGTTTAAATATGCAGGGCTGGCATAGGTCCAAAGGCCGCGTTGATTACAGAATTAATACATCAAGATCTAGAGAAATTTTATTACAAAAGTATTCGAGGTTATATTACATCGCAAGATTATTAAGGCAACAATGCCGTTACTACGCGTGCGCGAGTCATTAAGGAAGGGACTAATCAGTCCACTGTCATTAAAAATGAATTAAACAAAACTTGCCAGAGCACAATTCTGCGCGCAAAAATTACATAGAGATAATATAATAAAAAAAGTGTGTGCTAAACACAGTGTATTAGGGTGATAAAAAAACGAATATTTTTTTACTTCCGACAGTGATTGGCACCTCGAGAAAGTGCTCCCCAAATTTGAGCTTTTAATATTGATAGGAAGATCCTCCTCATCACAGTTTCCCATTTTTTCTTTAGTCCCTTATTAAAAAACATATTTCATTATTAATCCATTGTTTAATCAAATCTGTATACATATTTTTGTAGAAAATCGAATGCACAAAAAAGGACTGATGTTTTTAAGCGATTAATCTAACCATTTAAAATATATTCAAGATCCCAATCCGTACTGAATGAAAATATTTTCAACGGTTAGTGTAATTGCTAATAATATTAGTTTTCAATGAGTTACCTACAAAATTATTAAAAACAATATTTTTTTAAATAAATTCTTCAAACTTTAATCTTGAACCTCCAAATTTTTTAATTACCCTTCTGTGTATATTTAAATAACATGCAACTAAACAGTTAATACACAATAATGGACGTTTTAAGTGTAAGCACAAACAAATTATTAGCAATTCGTCAAAATTGTAATTATGTTCCCGGAAAATTATTGCTAAATCGACCACCAAAACTGTCAATTATGCTTTTCAATTTTACATGAAAACCATTTAACATGATAAACACTATACAGCGTACCACAAAAATCCACAGGGCGGACTTATAGGCGAGTAATACATCATTTTAGCTGACATAATTGGTAATAGAGTTAGAGATCCCGTCTTTTTAAACGAAACTCCTTCTTGAAGAAGAGTTTTGCAATTTGATCTTGTACCATATTTGGCAGTTTAGTTTCTGGTCTAAGTTTGGTCTCTTCCAAGGGATGTTAAACACCCTAAGTGACCATAATATGTAGATATGTTTCTTTACATCCCCTTTATTTGCCATCCCCATTTTGTAAAAATCTTTTATGTGAGAAGGTCTATTGCTATCTTTTAGTTGAGTCCTGGAAGAAGTCTTCATTCGATCGATCATGATTAATGAATGTTCCAGACCAGGAATTCTTTCCCAGTATAGTTTGTGATGTAGCTCAATCCAGTCGATTGGATTCTTTCTGGACGATTCTCTATTTATTGTAGCCCACAAGCACAGTTGAGGCTTCTTCAACTGCAAAGTGTAGATTCCATCTCGATGAACTTTCTCGTTGCATTACTATTATTTAAATCACACTGTATAATATTTGTTAAAGGCAGGTTATCTACATCCTAACTTGTCATTTCCCCAAATCAATTTGACATTTCGGAACATTTTACACCCATATCTGCTCCTCCAAACTTATCCCAACAAAAATGCTACATACTCGAGTAACATCCCTACTTAAATCAAAACGGATCTTCGCCCTACATTTTCCATTCAACAGATGTTTTTGTCAGCAAGCTGACGATCCCATTCAACAATTGTTCATCGAGAAGATTCGGGAATACCGGACGAGAAGTGAGGGTGGAAATTTGGTCGAACCAACGCCAGAATTGCTGGAAGAGTTGCAAAGTAAACTGGCATCTGTTAACAAGAATTATGACGCAGAAGGAGTGAATATGACTGCATTTCCAACCTTTGAGTTCGTGGAACCTGTCATTGATCCTATCTCGTTGGAGGTTGAAGATAAGAAGAAAAAAGAGACTGGAAAGGATGATGGAGAGAAGAAAAAGTAGGAGTTTTTATTTTTTTTATATCTGTTGTATAATATTTATTTAAAATACATAAAATTATTACAAAATACTACACTTTTCTTCGTGTACGTTGTTCTTATTTTAATGCAAGGAATTTCATTCTAATTTTTTGCAATATTTAATGAATCACCCTGTATTACTGCCCACAGACTAATGAAAAGGTTCCCAGGTAGTTTATCTCAATTAACTAAGTTTAAGTCCTCAGGATAATTGACAAGGATTAAATACATTTCTCAAACAAAGATATAAGAATGAACCAAAATAAAATAATTTTTAGAATTTAAACAGAAAAACAAAAACTATTTTAAAATAAAAAATATATGGGTACCCATCCAATGAACACGTATAATGCAGTAGAACTTTTTGGTTTGTTTGCCTAATGCATAATAAAAACTTTGAATAACGTAAATTAAAACATTTAAATTTAAATGACTTGTAAACCAAACTTTTAGATTGCCATTTTAGATTACTTACAAGGTTATTCGAACTTAATGAAAACGAAAGAAATTTGACTTTTAAATTTGCTTTAAACTTTATCGTCAATATTTATTTAAAATGAGTGCTATGTGTAAAACTTTAATATTTATTTAATTTAATATTCATATAACTATTGCAAAATATTGTCCGGAGAGCATTAAGTCGCGAATTTAAAATTTAAATTTAAAATTTTAAAAATTTGAAAATTTTAGAATATTTTTTATAATTTACATAATTGTTCGATTTTTTAAACTCAAAAAAAACACAATTTTTTAAATTCTAAATCAATATTTTAAAAATTTCAAAATAAACTGCTGTTCAAAAGTTAGGGAACCTTCTGTAAAATTACAACCGAATTAATTTTTTTGTCAGAGCATTTTCAGTTTAGTAAAATACCTTAAAATTAAACAAAACATACAAAAAATACCAGTTTATTCATAATGTTATAATATAAAAATATATTAATTTGAAATTTTAGAAAGTTGCCTTATTTAAAAGTAAATATACCGGCGTCTTAACTATAAAGGGGGTTCCCTAACTTATGAACAGCAGTGTATTTAAATTTTAATTTCATTAAATGTTTAAAAAAAAACTAAACTCAAAAAAAAAAAATTTAAATTTACAAAATATTGAAATTTTCCAAAACTAACAACTTTTTTAATATTTTTTAAAATTTACAAAATTTTACGATTCCAAAATGTTTCAAAATTAAATTTTTTTCATATTTTCAAAATTTCATAATTTTGTTAAGTTTCAAAAAACTTAAAAATAAAAAAAAAATTCTAGGCATATTTTTTTTAATCCTTCAATATTTTCAAAATTTTAAAAAATTTAAATTTTTAAAATTTAATTTTTTTAAAGAAGTAGTAGATATTTTAAAAAAATCTTTAAGATTTTCAAAATTTACTAAATATTTAAATTTTCCAAACAAAAATATTATAATTATCCAAATTTTTTAAATCTCCCTCATTTTTAAAATTTAATTTTTTTTATTTCTGCATATTTTCAAAATATTCAAAAAATACAAATTTTTTAAATTATCAAAAAAATGTTGGTTTTTAAAAATATGAAAATATATTGCAAGTTTTCTAAAATTTTCCAATATTTTCAAATTTTCCAAAAGTTTTAGAATTTCCAAAATATTTAAAAATTTAGTTAAAAATTTCAAAAATTAAAAAAAAATATCAGTTTTAATTTTTTTAATATTTTCAAAATTTTATAATATTCCAAATATTTCAAAACTTTAAATTTTAGTTTTCGAAATTTTAAAACTAAAATTTTTCAACAATTTTAAAATTTCAATTTTTTTAAAATTCTACAAGATTTTTAAAATTTTCAAAATATCAAAAAAAATAATTTTTCATATTTATAAAAATTTAGATTATTAAAAATTTCCAATATTTACATTTCAAATGTTTTTTTTTGGAGACCAACAAAATATTGAAAACTTCACAATTCACAATTTCACTTCTTAGCTCTATATCAAAAATATTGTAAAAGCTTGTTGCAAACAGACTTTATGAGTACCTTTATAAATTCAAACTAATTACTAAATGTTAATACGGATATCAAAAACGACTTATAACAGAGACATTCACTACAGAATTCACACAACATATAAATAAAAAAGTAGATGAAAGTAATATAGTAGTAGGAATATTTTTTTAATTGTCTAGATTATTTTTTTTGACAGTTCTCTGTATTGTTGGGACATTGTTGAGGCATTGTTGTTGAGGGAACCTACAGCGAATTACAGCGATAATTTTTTGAAAATTTTCTCTGGTAGTTGCTATATATAAAAAACAAATTAAATCTTAATTAAATGTTGTTTTATTCATTATGAAATTCTTATTTGTTAACTGTACATTTCGTCTCATGGTGCAATTCTATTGGCCGACATTTGGGACGGAAAAATAATCCCCCGAATACCACACGAGCTTCAAAATTATCTGGCATTTCCCTCAAGGTTCCCTGCAAACAAATAAAGTCGTCAAGTTTTTCAGGAAAAATCACTCGCGCTTCGCGCTCGTGATTTTTTAACCTGAAAAACTTGACTCCTTCATTTGTTTGCAACGAACCTATCGGGAAAAATACCCGATAATTTTGAAGCTCTTGTGGTATTATAAGTGAGCATTCTATACTCTTTATTCATATTTTTTGTCTAATAAACTATATATTTATATACAGGGTGAGTCATAAGTGGTGAACTTCCCGAAAGGTGCATGTAGGGGGCCTTAATATATGTAGGGAAAAATGTTTAAAAAAATCTATCTGCTTTGGTACTCGAGTTATGGCCAAGAACTCAAAAGAGAATTTTGGCAACGTGTAAACACTAACAATGTTACAGGAAATTATTAGATTTCATTTTAATTGAAGTAACTAAGGAACTTATTTGAATTGTTACGTGCTTATATTGTTGTCATTACTGTCATAATAAAAGACAACAATGAGACAGTTGTTGTGATTATAATACTTAAATAATAATAATTAAAACCAAAATCAAACAAAATAAAAATTTATGAAAAAAATAACATAAAGAAGCATGAAGAAACATTACAAAAATTGCTCGAATTGATGCCCCTGATTTTCCAAACACAATTCCAGTCTTCTTCTTGTACTAACTTGTACTTGGGTCAACATTTCTGGGGTCACAGTTGTTAAAGCATTTCGAATACGCATACCTAGGAGGCCAAGAAACTGGGCCGTTACGACCTATCCACCTGTTGTGATACTGTTCATTTAACCAATTTCTAACAGGAGCGGCAAAATGAAGTGGGGCACCATCCAGTTGTATCCACATGTTGCGCAATGTGGCCAAGGGTAAATTGTTAATTTCATTAGAAATTTCGTTCTCCAAAATATTTAAAAATTGATCCCTATTCAACCGCCGCGGTAATATGATAGACCCAATAACCCAATTTTTAATTATCCCAACCCAAACATTTACACTGAAGCGATTTTGATGATTAAATTCCCATTTTCTATATGGATTTTCTTGGTTATAATAATGGCAGTTTCTACTATTAAAATACCCATCCCTACTAAAATTTGCCATAAAATACGAGTTAAAAAATCACCATCCTCATTAATATTTCCCAATAACCAAAATACAAAAATTTAAACGCAAACCGAAATCGTTGTTGTTTAGAGCCTGAACTTTAGTGTAGTGGTATGGATGGAACTTCTCCTTCTTTAATCGCCTGGTTATAGATGTCTGGGACATGCCTAGCTCCTGAGCAATCCCTCTGGTACTTCTTGTTGGATCTTCTTGAATCAGCTGGATGATTAACTCATCGGCTTCGGGTACAATCTCTAGAGGCCGACCAAGGTCAAGACCTGCCGTGGGAATTAGAGATCCAGTCTCTCTAGCTCTGACCATCATCCTTCTAAAAACTCCCGGCGATGGGTGGGTTATGTCAGCGAATCTTGCTGCGTATACCCGGGCTTCTTCATTGCAATTTTCTTCACAGAATCCAAGTACCAGCATCATATTCACATATTCTTGATTGGTGTACATTTTATTAAATAGACTCGACAAAATAATAACCAAAAAAATAAAATATAAACGTCAAACTTAATTTTCGCATTGTTGATTACAAATAGACTCGACAAAATAATAACCAGAAAACACCAAAAAATATAAACGTCAATGTCAATTTTCGTATTGTTGATTACAAAGTTGCCAGATCATTTCAATTGTTAAAAAATCATTCTAAAACATTAAAATTAAAAGAAAATACACTTTTTCGGGCAATTTTTTTGCTAGGAAATATTTAAGAACCCGAAACTCTTCAGTAAAAATCATATAAGGTGGAAAAATATTAAATAATAAAAAAGTTAAATTTAAAACTTAAGACCTGAATTCCTCGGTCACTTTTTCATTTGGAATTTTTTTAACATTTTTCCCTACCTATATTAAGGCCCCCCTACATGCACCTTTCGGGAAGTTCACCACTTATGACTCACCCTGTATGTGTCCAACAGACAATTTTATATAAAGGTTAATGAGAAAAATTCAAAGATATATAATACGCACATTGGAACACCTCAGGGTTGTACTCTGGGTCCCTTGTTATTTATATTGTTTATTAATGATCTCCCCAAATACATTAGTGTGAGAAAACTGTTTTTGTATATGGCAAGACTGAAAGTGAAATTGTTAATTTAATTCAAACTGCAGTGATAACTGAGTTTAGCAACTGGTGTTTTAAAAAATAGATTAATAATTAATGTCAAAAAAACTGCGTTGATCCAATTCTCCTATGGTAATCTTAAGAAAGAAATTCAAATCAATAATCAATTTTTTAATTTATCGAATTCGTCCAAATTTTTAGGAATGATAATAGATAGGTAAATCTTTTACATGGGATGAACACATTGATTTTATAGCTATGAAACTAAAAAAATCCATTTATCAATTATATTATAGCTTAAGGGACAAATCTTCTTAATGTGTATTTTGCAAATATTTATACCATTCTTAGTTTTAATTTTTCTGCATGCTG